ACGCAGGGCCCGCCGGGGCCTAGCCGCACCATGGCACCCGCCGCGGAAGGCCGCGCGGCAGGCGGCGGCCGCGGCACCGGCGGGGGCGGTGGCATGAGCTGCCGTGCGGTGGGCGGCGGTGCAGGCGGGGCCGGCGCCGGCGCCGGCGCGCCGGCCGCGGAGCGCCGCAGCAGTTTCCTGGCGACCGGGCTGAAGGATGATGACGTCACCGGCAGTGAGTGGCGCAGCAGCGACCCCAGGGTACCAGCAGCGGGCTCCTGCGCGTCCGGCTGCTGCGACGCGGCCAGCCCCTGCCCTCCCTCCTGCTCCGGCTCCTCTTGCTGCTGCTGCTGCTGCTGCTGCTGCTGCTGGGAGTTGTGTGTATCGTCTTGGTGGGCCGCTGCTGCCGGGTCAAAGTAGTTCATGAATGCCTGGTCTTCCTGCCCCCGCCCCTCCTGCGGCCGCGCGCCGTCGGGCCCAGGCGCCGCCTCAAGCGCACCGAGCGGCAGCGGCGTGCGCAGGCCGAGCGTGCGGGCGGCGCCCTGGCGCGGGGCGCCGCCGGCGACGGCGCTGGCACTGGCGCCGCCGCCGCCGCCGGGCGGGGGCAGCTTCACCACAGACGCAGGCGAGCCGCCGCCGGCGCCGCCGCCGCACCCTCCGTATGCAGTGGTCGCGCCCGTCGCGCCCGACTCGCTTGGTGCCGGCGACCCCGAGCGCCCGCAGCTGCTGCCGCCGCCGCCCGACACCAGGTGGAGCGCCGCCACGCCGAGCGGGAGGGGGCGCGCGCCGGGCGGCGGCGCGGCCGGCGGGGACAGGAGGTGCGGGCCGCCTGCGTGGGCGGCCGCAATAGCGGAAGGGGCCGGAGGGCACAGGGTTGGGGGTTCAGGGCAGAGGGCATGGCGGTTGGGGTGCGCGAGGGGCCGCTTTTGGGTGTGACTTGGTGTCATGCCGTGTGGAGGCGCTTCTGACGGACTGGACTAGTCCGCACGACCCCAATCAGCTCAAGGAAGCTCAATAGGGTTCCGCCGAAGGCACCACACCACGCAGGGCGTCGTCCGCCACTCCCGCGTACGAACTCCACCCTCCCCTCCCGGCCACCCCAGCGTCTCGCGGCGCGGCCCGGAGCGGCCCCCACCTTGCTCGTCCACCGGAGTCCCCAGGCTGCCGCTCGCCTCGGGCCGCGCCCCGCCGCGCCGCCGGCCGGCGTGGTTGGCGCGGGCCGCCTCTGCCGCCGCGTCGGTGCCGTTTTGGCACGACACGCACTTGCAGCTGCCGCCGCAGGGGACCCCGTGCTGTGGGGCCAGGGGCGCAGGATGTCGTGTAGCAGGTTGCTTAGTCGTCGGGATGTGCTTGATACCAGCCCCAACTCGGATCAAATGCGGCGAACCAAGACAGGCGAGGAAGCACCCGAACAGGGAGCCCAAGGGGGGCGAGAATTGGCGGGCTGGCCCGCGCCCCTTGCCGTGCTGGCGGCCACATCATGGCCCCACGCGGCCACAGGCCTGCCCGTTGATCCTTTCTCTCCCCTCCCCTTTCCCTGCACCCGCCCCCGCACCCAAACCAACCTGGAAGCATTCGCAGTACATCCTGAGGCACTTGCTCTTCTTGCACGCGCACCCCCGCCGGTGCGACGGCCCGCCCGCATCACTGTTGACCTTGGGCGCAAAGGCGTTGGCATCGCGCGCCATGATGCGCGCGCGCGCGTCCTGCACCTGTCGCCATCACGTGTTTGAAATGGGCGAAGAAAGGCAGGGCGTGGCTCAACACCAAGCAGGTAGGTAGTAGGGGGAAGGGGGTGAGAGGGCGTAGCTGCGCTGCCTCTGTGGACGGACTGGCGGGCACTCGGCAGTAGGCGCTGTTCGGCGGCTGGCGGCTCCGTACGTCAGTGCGGCGAAGGGGTGTGTGGTATGCGCGAACGCCATGCTGATGCCAGCGGCGCCGGCCTGCCGCCCCGCGCGCACCTGCGCCTCCCAGGCCTCGTTGTTGCGGCAGTCCAGGCAGGCGCAGCCGCTGCACATCGCGCCGGCCGCGAAGCAGTCGCAGTAGAGCTTCAGGCAGCGCGTCTTCTTGCATGAGCAGGAGCGCGCCTCGGGCGCCCTGGGGCGGCAGGCCGGGTCGCAGGTCGCGGGGCGATGATTAGCAATGCACGAGTCATCGTGCTGAAGCCGGCTGGCTGACGCTTGACGGGGACCGGCGGCGCGCTACGCACAGGGCATGCTTTGAGTGACGTCCCCCGGACGCGCGACCACGGAGGCGCGTGCGTGACTGCTGCGCGGGTGCGCGTGAGAAGGGCGAAGCCTCGGGGGCGTCGCGGCCGGGGCCGGGGCCAGCGCACTCACATGGCGGGCATTGGGGCCGCCGGCGTGGCGGGGGCTGGCGCGAAGAAGGGGAGGGCTGCAAGGGCAAAGGGGTGGTGGGACAGGGCGCGCGGCACGCAGAGTGTGAAGGGTCTTGGGGCAGCGGCGACGGCGGGTGCACCAGCAACGCAGGCTGAGAAATAACCACATATCACCGCGCAGTGTGCCGACGCCATGATCCGGGCCAACATTTACCACCCACAGGGCCCTCACTTGCGGCAAGCGCGCGCGCCTCCACATCCCGAGACGCCGGAGTCTCCTGAGCGTCGGCCGCGGCCGAGCCGCCGCCCCCGCCGCCGCCGCCGCGCTCTGACGCGGCGGCCTCGACGCTCGAGGGCCGGCTGGCGGCGGGCGCGGGCGCCGGGGGCACCGGGCTAAACGGGGACGGCTCAGCCCCGGCCGCGTCGCGGGCGCGCGGGGAGTAGGAGGACACCTCCAGGCCGCTGGCCACCAGGCGCTGCAGCGTGGCGGCGCTCACCCCCACGGGGGGCTGCTGCTGCTGCTCCTGCTGCTGCTGCTGCTGCGCCTGCTGCTGCTGCTGCTGCTGCGGTGCGGGAAGGGCAGCGGCGGCCAACGCCGCGGCGACCTTGGACGGCGACGGGCCGCGGCTGCGCCGCGCGCGCGCCGGCTGGGGCACGGGCCCGCCGCTGCCATTTGAACCAGGCACAGCTGTCGCGGCGCCGCCAACCGACGCCGCGCGGTCGGGCGGCGACTCAGCTGCCAGACCAGGCACGCCCGCCTCCACCGCGGCAGCCCCCGCACCCATCGGCGCCACAAACGGCGCCCCGCCCAATATAACCCGCGCCCCGCTTGCCCCGTCGGCGCCGCCTGCCTTTGCCGGCGTGAGGGACAGAGACGGCGGCGAGGGCAGGAGTGTCTCGTGGCAGTGGGGGGACGCAGGGTCCTCCAGATGCTGCTCTGGAAGCGCCGTCCCCGCCAGCGACGCCGCAAACGCCGCCGCGACCGCCGCTGTCGAGAGCAGCGCGGCGGGCGTGGCGG